TTGTTGTTGTTGAATATATGAGCATTTAAGAATCAAAAAAGATGAACAAAATGAATGAATAGATTACAATAACCAGAAACAATAAATAAACAGCAGTATAAAACTAAAACTTTCAACTTTATCTGTTTCAATTTAGTCAACAAAATTTATTTCACTGTTTTTTTGATCCTTTTTTTTTGCCCCTTTCATGGAAAAGTTTTTATTATTTGTTTATTAAACAGACAAAAGCCAACCGTCATCAATGACCCATAATTGTTGGAAAAAGAAAGAGCAAAAATCAATGACTTTTCTGGTTACTGTTTTGTAACAACAACAACAACTAATATATCGTATCAAAATCCATAAACGATACGGTTACAGTAAATTTTATAAAAGTTTGCTTGTCTATAACCAAAAAAAAAAATCACAAAAAAACAACAGTAAAAAAAATATTTTTAGCAATAATCCGTGAATAGAAGAAATATAAATCATCAAAATACAAAGAGTTTCAATAGTGACAGCTTTGATAAGGTTAAAAAAAGAAAATTTCAAAGATGAATTAAACATTACCATCAATTGATACAGTGTCTGAATAATGACATTTATATATTCATTTAAATCTAATCGTTTTATTGCTATTGCAATTAGTTTGCAATTAGCCGTATGCAGTTTTGCAATTTAAACAATTTACCAAAGAATGCTTGTCTTTTTCAAATTCCTTCACAAGCTCTAAAAGCATAACAAACATATTATTGTTAATTTTACTGTTTTCTGGAAAATAACGTATAAGTCAAGGATTTTCTTTTAAAACTGTTTCAGTTGTCAGATGTCGATAAAATTGTTAACTAATGCTACTTGTAGTCGACTTGCTGGATGAATAGCTGTTGACCATGAATAATTCATAATTAACATTGACTATAAACAGCCTTATCCCTTTCATTTCCCAGTTAATTAATAATTTTCAAATAATACGTGACAAACATACGCGCAAAAACTTTAATAACTATCGTCATTGATAACGGGAAAAAAAGCGATAAACACAGGGGAAGAAAAAAACCAACAGACTTCATTCACCATTCCGATCAACAAATAAACCTTTTATTCAATTTCTTTTTCTGATACTATTTTCTCAATTCACCAATTCCACAAATTGACTTTCATACCGTATTTTTCATAAACACAGTCTACAACGCACACTTATACAAAGCGTTCAGGTATCCTCTTTTTCATTGCTTCTTTAACTGCAAGGATTTTTTTCTAATTTCCAGCATTGTCTCTCGTTCACGTTCTCTTCTATCAAGTCTGAATAACTTAAGACCTTGTCGTCATCTATACAATTACTGAATAAGTGACAATCTTTTCTCTTCAACAACGTACCACTGTCAACCGTTAAGTAAACTCAGTGCATCGACGTCCATGAAGGACAATTCTGACAATGATATTAGTGAACACATATATGTTACAAATTAAGAACTAATTGTTGAGCTATTTTTTACCGTAAACTACGCTACACTTACTTTTCTCACATAATCCAAATTGAAAAAGAGAAATTGAGCAGCCAAACTTTAATACAACTAGAATTACCACACGTGATCTTCCAGTCGTCCAATATGTTAGCAAAAAAAAGATTGTGGTAGCTGCCTAATACATAAAGCATAACAAATTTTCTTGCTAACTTCTCAATCAAAAAGAAAAAAGTCTTAACATTCAGATACGAGTACAAAGTTGAAAAATATATACAGACAAGTTCATTCCTAATTTGGTGCGAGGTTTCTGAAACGAAACATCCTTACTCATGGAAGAAATTCTAGCAGCTTTGGCACAATGCCACTTTGTTGTACAGAGGTAACTGGACGTTATCCGAGCGCCCCTCTAAAAAAGTGCTAAACTTTCAAAACACCTGTGTCCATGACTTATTACCTATTGTGCACTGTTTCTTAACGTTTTATCTCTTTATGTTTACAATTCCTTACTTTTGCCCAAACATAACTAATAAATCACTAATTGCTTGAAAGCGAGTTTCAGGTGTCCACATACGAATATTTCATCGTTTTCCTACCGGTATAAAAATATTTTTTGGTTAAACCCCTTTTTGAAATTGAATCTCATTCAACATTTTTCAATCAGAAATTGCAGCAAAAGAACTTATGGCAACAAGCCTGCAATTACTAGCAATATGCTTCTGAAAAACAATTCGAGCAACCGAACTATGCGACAGACAAGCGAACGCCAACCCTTTTCGACAGTCTCCTCCTTTAGCGAAAGGAACTAATATGCTGTTGTCCATTACGGTGTACCTAACCAAATTTGTTAAATTTAGTTTCGGATTTAATTGACGTTAATGTTAAGTTACTGTCGCAGCCTTCCGGTGATTTACGTCTGCTTAAGTGATCTTTGCGACACTGTGCCCCGGTCAAAAGTGGCATACAAAAGAAAAAAATCAGCAGATTTTTCCTATAAGAAACTTCTCACTCTGGCCAGTTTGTTTTGTTTGAGATTCGGCTAAAACGAGGAAAGTTTTCTGCCAAAAGTTATACTTTATAGCAAAAATAAAGAATATTGACTTACTTCACCATATTTCATTATGTCGACCTCTTCTGATTTTAGCAAGAAGCAGTAAGATTCCATTTCCAATCAGACGTAAATTAACAAATACAGCGAATAGTCATTACGGTAAGACTTTGCTACTTTGTATTGTACTAGCTTTCAACTGATCTCAAACGCAAGAAAAAAATGTTTCACTCGGGATGTTGCATACAAACTACAGCCAGTTATAAGTCAAGTCGCCAAAGCTAGTAAAGTTTCAGGAATAATCACTCTCTTTTCAAATAAAAATTTAAAAGTAACTAAATTCCACCTTGCATAAGTAACCAAGCAAACCTATGTGGTTCGAAAAGAGCCCAGTAAGAACCTGTCTTGAAAACTGCGCGGCAAAAATAAAGCAATGTCCCCTGCACAAAATTGAAAGATCGTAACCTTTCAAGTTTGTGGGCTTGTAGCGTATGTCTAAGTTTGAAAGATGATAATAATCTTATTATATACTCCAGAAAAAGTCAATGCCAAACTCTACATCTTATGACTTACTATTTTAAAAAGATTCGTCAAACTCCACAAATAAAAAACACTTAGTACAGTATCAAGAAAAAAATACCAAACTAATACTTCATTGAGAAAACACAAGCCAAGGAAAATTGAATTGTCTACACCCGAAACAGCGAAGAAAGCAGTAAATAAATTTTAAACAAAAGCTGACAGTGTGAAGTACCCAGACAGCGCCCAACAATCCCGAAAACTATCAAGACATTGGTTTCATTTCAACTTCATCCTCTAAAAACTCTCCCAAAACCCCTATTCTTCATCACTGCAGCAAAACACCCGTCTGGAATAAGAATTATTCTTAACATAACAAATCTTCACCGCCACACTTTAATAATGCCATCTCTGCTAGACGAAACTAGAAATTCATCGCGGCAAAAGATTTCCGATACAGCACTTTGGTGACAAATGGTGACCTGAAGTTAAAAAGATCAGCAGTCAATAAAAAACCCGGTTCTACAGTGCACTACAACTAAAACACCAGTTGAACGCTGAAATTAAATTTTGGCTCTACAAAAACTTGGCATAAAATGCTTGCAGTCGATATTAAAAATTTCAGAAAAACCTAAAACTAAGCTGCGCAAGTTATTAACCTGATTACTCAACGGGTTGGCATATGGTGCTGTTGAACTGGCCCGTCCTTTCAATTCACGGGGAAACTGATAGATAACGTCTACTGCATCTTTCGTAGTCCTTCCAAACTTTATACTCTTGGCTGAATCGCCGACTGCAGTAATCTCCTCAGCTGTTCTACGTTCTGGCCCAGATAGGTAATAGCATTCCTTTTCATTTGATAAGTTGTACGACCTGATTGCGCCAAAACTATCTCCGGTAAATACCCGACCTGTTTGACCGCAAGTGGTCAGCGCAGTAGTGACTAACTTACTGTCCTTAAAAAGCCTGTAAGTTAGAAAGAAAACAGCAAAAATACTCCTACAAATAAGAAAAACTTCGCTTCTAATTCAAGCGGAACACGCCGAAGTTAGGCAAATTAACTTCAGAAGACTCGATTTCAAACAAAAAGATTGCGAAGTACTTTTGATTTGTTTGCATTTAATAGTAAGATAATACTGCAACCTGGCGCACTCAATGAAATCAAACTAATAATTTTCCCACTGGTCACCCTAAGGGGTCTGATATGAAAATTCGTGCCCGCGTAAACAGTAAGAAGAATAGAGGCAACTGGTCTAAAAAACTAAAGAAAAAGAAAAACGAAGCTAGAAATTTAGAAGAGCCAAAAACAAA